GTCTGGTAAAGGGACTGTACGCAGGTACTAAGGGCGGCATCTGCGCAGAAGAGTCGTTGTCGGACCGTTTTAGCAGCAATGGTGGGGTGCGTCAAGGAGAACTGCTTTCATTTATTACTCAGTTTCAATTATTGATGTGTTATTCAACATAGTGGCGGATTATGTGATGCGGAGGAACGGCATTGTTTACAGTAACACAGGTATTTATTATCAGACAAAACTCAGCCGAAGGTACTTGGCAGTAATCAACAGACTTCTGATTGCTGAGCGACTCCGCCAACGGCTTACTGGCACGAACTGAACAGGTGTGCAGGAGACCGTCAGCAGTAGACCTAAAAGTCATCTCCACTAGTCATGCTAGTATTCGACACGACGAACGGCCAAAAGACTGAATGCAGTGGAACGACCATCGAGAAGTGGAAGGCATCAGATACCTGAGCTCTGTGCAGTTGGCATCGGCAAATCTTGCGTGTCACAAGACCGATCTATCCGGACAGCAACCAAGGCCACCATGCCGAAAGCCGCCGTCCTCTATGTACTTACGTTCTCCCTCGAAACATCCATCCTTTTGGAGCGTGATAAAAAATGTTGGTTCCAGCAACGCTGTGGAATATTTTGAAAGTGCGATGGTTAAATCGAATGAAGAACGAAACAAATTTGGAGGAGATCAGCTTGAGGATGCTGTGTGAAGAAATCAGGAATCTGCATCTTTCTTGGTTTGACAAAACCACACACGCAAATAGAATGAAATCCTATTCAAAACCATTCATCTGTGGGAAACAACGAATGACCATAGACACGTCGGAAGCCAGCATCGCATTCTGAAGCAAGCTGCTAGAGGCGAACTTGCTTGCGACGAGCAGCATAACCTTTGCCGCAGCGATCAACATCGCGAAGATCATTCTGTGAATCCAGAAGTGCCAGAAATCATTAATAGGTACCTGGTTTTTGACTCCGATAACTCAGATGACTACAGGTAAAGTCGCAGTCTTAGAAAACTAACGTTAGGCGGCGGCAGATCGAAACAGTAAACAAGCAGACAAAAGCGTTGCACTAATGTGTTTGAAAAACATACAGCGCGAAGAAATGGTCACGCGAATCAAATGACATTCACCTTTGTTTGTCGCCTTTTGGTGTCGAAAAAGGCTTTAAAAGGCGGTAGAAAGTATGGCACTCAAGAGAGCCAGTGATTAGTTGACGTAAGCAGTGACCTACATGAGATAAGTCAATGCCAGCTATTCGTAACCACACTAAAACAAGGCAGTCCACATGTTTCTAGATGAAGCTAATGTCAGGTGAATCAGCCGTTTACGAATACTTTTCAAGTCCTATACGACTATGGAACACATTTGTGTTCGACGCAGCACAGTTTGCGGGCGTTGAATCCTTGCAGCGCAGATGGTGTAATACAGTGTAGCCTGCTTAACGCATAGTCCGCATGAAACAAGAGAACGATGCGCCCACAGATCCGGATAAGCCTCACATATCTGTTAGATATCGGATTACAGCAGAATCAGTGTCTCAGCACCGTACATCTCGGATGGAATCCGTGAGTCGTGTTTTTTTTTGGTATTGCCTGATATATGTATATATCATTAATGTGCCACAAATGCTGCACGCAGTCATTACTCTGCTGAAGGGCTCCTAAATGTTTAGAATCAAGAGCCGGAACGATTATGCCTTGTGAACCACACGCATGAATGCATAAAATATACTTTGATTACGAGAATGCAATGTGACTGCGGCATATGTTATCCTTTTTGACTGATAACGACATAACTGTGTTTGCGTGATCATCATTTTTATCCTTTGGCATTAGCGAACCTCTCTGGTTTGTGAGGTACGTTCTGTTTGCAGCTTTACAACTTTTTTTCTATGATGCACCGGTAACTTCATTTTTTTCAGAAAGAGGATCTGCCTTTACCTCTGCATTTCAGACATCATTAATCTGGGTGCTCAGATTTTGGCCCCGATACTTCAGATGACGATGACAAGAAGAGCGACTCTAGGTTGTTCCTCCAGGTTACAACCTGACCTCCCGGTCGACGTTTTCCGTATTTCGGCCCCACGCGACGGACTCGGCTAGCTGGACTAAATGGTTTATGCAAGTTAGTTTGTCTGGTAGGGCTAGCCTCTTTTTTAATCGTTTCATCTACGGCACACACCTGCGCCTGGAATGGGATAGATTCGTTCGTTTCCTGGTGCTGCCATTTAACCCTGATTACGCGTCGAAGCCGAAGCTACGGTTCGCAATTCAATCGTTGTTCTTGTTCCATCGTTGAAACAACTGTCGACATGTCTCGTGACAGCATTGACCTAACTGAGGCAAGTTACCGGCGGACGTCTTTGTTGAGGACTACCTCATTTTAAGCCCAGTTGTTGAGAAGTTGCTAGAGCATTTTCAAAGGCACGTCCTCGTAATTAACCTTGACTGGATGGTGCCATCGTTGGAGACCATCGAACCAAGATACGTATTTGTTAAATTGGTCGACTGCGTTTTTAGCGTCCCCTCTCTGTTCTGCTAATGGATCAACCGTGTTTTCTCATCATAGCCTTGGACTTCCGGCCTTTAAGGCAGATGTGTGATGTCCACTTTCGCGGCTGTATTGCTTGCAGCAGTACAACAGTTGACCTGCTTTCCGTACCATTCACCAGGACAATATCATCAGCATATCCAAGGTCGGTAAGGTATCTAACCGAATACCTCAAACTGCGCCTTCCATCTGAAATGAGACTCTCGTCTTTTCCATGGTCAAAACTGTTCAGAAAAGCTAGTCAAGAGAATTCTGAATAGCTAAGGCGAAATCGCGCATCCCTGTAGAGAATTGCGCGAAAGATAATGAGGAACCACTCTGATAGCTCTGCGTCATACTGGATATCAGGCAGGGTTATTGCATACAGCTTTTCCAATATGGCAGTGATGTTTTCAGGTATTAAGCATTTTAAGATTTCTCGCCAACTTTAGACGTTGTATTGAATCAAGTGCAGTCTTAAGGTCTAGGAAACTGGCAAACCAAGACATTTGAAATCGTTGACATTGCTCAATGATGCTACGTAAATTGAACTTTCAAGTGCACTTTTATAATAGCAGGAATACTCCGTCCGGAATCCTGAATTGATTTGGGCGGAATCCTCTGTCACCTGTATGGTGCCTCAGTCTGTCCAAAATAATCAAAGAGAATTTTCCCGCGGGTTGACACTATGGTACTGTCACGGTAGTTGAAGCACTCATTTGCTCTCTTTAAATTTAAGGAAATTACTCAAAGCTTCCATTCTCCCGGGAAGCTTTTGAGGTCCACGTTTGATGAAGTAGGGCGTTGAGATTTTCTATCATACTTCTTCTGCCCTATTTAGGTAACGTTGGGGAGATTTAATCTACACCACAGGCGGTTTTCACCTTAAGGTATAGCAAAGCTTTTTGGATGTTGAGTTTTGTATGCGTGTCTACACTAACCTCTGGCGCTTGTAAGAAATTAACGGTCGAAAATAACGAATCCGAATCGAGGACAACTGTTGAGCCGCTGTTTGAAATGCTCAGTGCATCTTTTGAGGCTATCCTTCTGACATTACAGTGGGACACCCTTTGCGTTTTGCCCAAGGACAGACCGTCTTCCGTGCTTACCAGGCAGTTGTCGCACACGTTTGAACAGTGTTCGCCACTCACCGTTTCTTACTGCCTTATCGATTTTCCTGAATTCCTCCTCCGCTGTAGCTCTGGTTGACAGAATGAATAAGATGGGTTGCGTTTTAGGCTGTAGTAAGGTGTTGCCAGTACTTCTTCTTGGCCTAGTATCTCTGCTCTGTAGAGGCTACGGTGTTCTCCGTAACTTGCGGCAGTTTCGCTATCCTGACCTCGACTACTTTTTTTGCTGAAAAAATGACGCCAACTTTGAAGTCTTTGAAAGCTTCATCGATGTAGATATTTTCGACTGGGCATTAAAGTACTCTCCCTTCTTTTAGTAAGTTGACCGCACCACTTTGCGACATTGTAGCTTGTCAGCATCGAAAAGCTAGTGTATTTCAACCAAACCACGTCAATGTGACGGCTAATTGTCGACGAAGTTGTGCTGCTACCTTTAGTCGAGTCTTTGCTTCGTATTTGCTTTGTCTTCGTAATCCAAATGGCATAGGTAATGTTCATTGTTTTCTCAGTTTATTGACGTTGTGCATCCACCTCTGGATTTCCTTTCGTCGTATCCGCGATTGCCACCCTCCGTTCTGAGGATAGGCCGCAAAATGGAAAATCTCACCAGACTTTTTTTTCAAGGCTAATGCCAACATTGCAACCTGAATTCCTTTCGTTCACATTTCATAATGAAAGTTTTCTCCTAGACAGAACTATATGAATGGTATAGAAAGCTCTGCCAATCCCAGTATCTGTTACTTCGTTTACTGACCAATTTCAGATTCATAACTGGATTTCACGACTACCATTGCATCTCATATTTATGCACTCCAGCAGACTTCATGCGTTCGCGAGATGCCTTAGTCGTTTCTCGCTCTCTGCAAAAAACATTAGGTTATGCACGGAACTCTGCATCATGTCAGTAGGTAAGGTGATACTGTAGAAACGAAAAGCCCTGACCCATGTCGTAAAGGGAGAATTCCGTTTGTTTCTTGGCGGTTGTTTACATCATATGTTTTATTGCGCAGGCAGAAGTGATCATCTGTCGGACTGGAAACAAATTTTAATTTTTTATTCATCCTTTTCAAGTTTGTTGACAGGAGATCCAAATAAGGCACAGAAACGGCCAAATGATGAAATTTCCCATATCATAAGGGTATCTGTGATTTATTTTCTGTTCAGCAGTGAAGTATTCGGACGAATCTTCTTCAAATTTATTTTCATGACCGCAGGAGTATGTTGCAGCTACCCTGGAGTTCACAAACCGATTCTCGTAATACCACCGTTGAACACGTTTACCGTAATTCCAAGTCACAGTTTCTTTATGCAGGTAACGTCTCTTTCATTTCCTACGGTGATGCATCCAGCTTTTGAACTGCCGTACCAAAAACGTTTTCTTGATCGTTTTATTTTTGATTTTGTTGTTTTCTGTTGTTTATGTTATGTTTTCTGTTATTGGTCGTTTTGTCGTTTTCGCTTCATCACCGCTTGGCACATTTCTGTTTTAGGCGATGATGCAGCGATCAAGATTTTGCAAGAAGGAATCATATCGGAATTATCGCGAAGTCCGGAAGCGATAAAGGTGAAGGAGAAAAGTAACAACGAGAACAAGGACAACGTTTTTGCCTATGGTATGTTTTTTCTCTCTGCTCAGTTGTCATGCTTAAATGCTATGCTTATGTTTATCAACAAGGGATGTCAGCATTTTGACCATTTACTGGGAAGCTGTACAGTATGTCACCAAGTTCTCCTATCGTGGAATGATCATCACTAATGATGGAGATACAGCTGTAAAACAGATTCCCAATCAAGAACCAGGAAGACTGAAACTGCTTATAAAATGCTGCAGCAAATTTTGTGGAAAACTGCTGTCAGTACATCAGTGAAATTTCGTTTATATTTCTAAGCAGTTATTCCACCAGTTGTCGTGAATGCCGCATTAGTGACCAGCACCCGCACCAAAGAGGAAACCAAAGCGCTAGACGTATTTGAACGCGGTTGTTGGCGCAGAATACTTGTCTATAGAATGATTAACAAGATCATGGATGCTCAATTGTTAGACGTCGTTGGAACAAGCACAGATGAAGTACGTTGAACAAGGATCAGTTTTCTCTCTGTTAAAGTATGCAACTAAAACTCTTCAGCCATGTACTATGTCGGAACGACAGGCATCTGATCAACATCATGATTCGTACTGTGTCGAACCCATGCTGGAAAAGGCCGATAGACAGGTAACAGATTCATGATTGGATGAATCGCGGATGAACTGACTACGACGAGGTTGGGTCGTACTTATCGACAGACTGCACGAGGATTCGCCTACAGTCATATTGGTCATTGCACAGAGCAGGAAGCAGTGACAAATGGCAAGATGCGCATGGATTTCGTAACCTTTTACCGCCTGCAATAAATCAAGTCAAGTTATCAGTTTCTAGGAGTGCTTACTGCGGGTGCGATCCAAAGTCGACCTCCGTCTCTCATCAGCAGTGTTTAACTTTATGTCGTATTTATATTTAGAATAGTTTCTGTTTCCGATCTAGTTATCCGTTGTTAAAAGTAAAAATGGTAGTAAGCCCAAAAATCAGACTGTAATTAACACGAAGTTTTAGGGAACCCTATAACGAGGTTCGTTATCAGTATACGAACAATATTAAATATTCATAGTGCAATAAACATTATGGACAGTTCCGTGAAAATTTAAGACAAGGAACAGTACAACATTAGAATAAAGGTGAAAAAAGGGAAACAGAGTTAAGAAGCTGTATGAATAATTTGCACAACTCAGCAGTAACACACTTTGCCTGTATCACAAATATCTTTTAGAAATCAGTATATGATGGATAAAATGAGGAAAGAATGCATTTCACTGTAAAAAGGAATTAAAACTGATTGATAAATTAAAATCTGTAATACCTACTACATGCGTTTGTGAGGAATATGGTGTGAAGAAACAGATTTATTTTGCGAATGAGTGATGTTTATGCAATAAACAATGGTTGCAATATGCATTGTAAATTTATTACTTTGTACGTAAACAGTATTCGCATGATGATTCACCATATATAATTTATTAAACTGAACTCCGATTTCATGCTGATGCAATTTTAGTGCCTTTATTTTAACCCACTTTGATTTTACGCACACACTCTTCCCCATAGTTGTCTATTAAACCAAGTATATTCTGTATTTGAAAAGGATCTATGTATTTTTCAGCTGTTCACTGTAACAGAAACGGAAGTGTGTAGAAATTTTGTTTAACATTTGACAGTTTTAACACGGAACACTATCGCAGTTCGCGCGTTATATGTTTATGTGGAACGGCAAATAAATTTCAGATACTCTTGAGTTTGAACTTTGATTTAGTTAGATTGATCCGGCTTGTCGATTCGACCGGGTTTAGATGTTCATGCTTTAAGAAGAAAAGCGCAGTTTGACACCGCATTGACAATTGATGTTTTGAACAGATTCGTATGTTGCGATGGGCGACAGTGACTACAAGAACAACGAACTGGTCCACGATGATTTCGAGATCGCCATGAAGGAAGAACCTGTCGCGCGTGCTCCGCCGCCTCTCGCCACTCGCATCTTCCCTGTTCAAGCAGCAGGACAGGAGTCGGAACAGCAGCGCCAGGTGGTAAAACAACGCGTTGCATTGTCGGCCTCGCAGATCGTGCAGTCAAGACCTCGTGCAGTGTCCAGCTCGAATCGGCCGTTCACGTTGTTGTCGTCATCGTCACCGCTGTCGTCACTTTCGTCGTCGCGTTTGCATTCGAATTCGTCTTCGGCGTCGGTGATCGCCAAACGAGAGGGCGAGGAGGAGTTTCCGACATTCGTTCGACCCGCGGTGTTGCCGCAGCTACGGCAGAGGACAAGCATTTCCGCCGCCGCCGGTTCCGTTGCCGTTGACGCACCCTCGGCCACGGCCGACAGTAGCAACGCGTGGTCGAAAATGTCTTCCGAGGATCTGGGCAACACGATCTTCATCGGTAAGTGACGGCGTTTGTGCTTCACCGTTGTCGTCTTCACCTCTCGTGCCGTTTTCATAAGCTTTCTCCTGCTGTGCTTTGTTGTTCGCATTGTGTTCATACGTTGGTTCGTTTTGCACTTGTTGCATGATTTGCCAATTAGTCAGTGCACTCCTTGTTTTAGCTGTAACGCTTACATGTTCGACTGCTGCCATTCTCGGCTTGTTGTTCTCTATATACTCCTGTCGTAGGTGAGCTGATTTATTATTATTTTTTCTTCATTTTTTAGTCGTTACGACAGTTTGCAGCGCCGCCGCTGTAACTGGGATGATTTTAGCGACGGTCTACTGGGTGAGGTAAGTTGCTGATGACTGTTTCCGGTCGCGCTGCCGCTCTTCGTTCGTTCACTCGTTGTGCGTCTCGTAACGTGGTTTCGCTTGCGTTTGTTTGCCAAGTGGTGCTTTTGTACTGCATTAACCCTGTTACGGACGAACGTTGTTTATCTCTCTACTGTGAGTTAGGTTTGATTTGGCCTTACCAAATTTAAGCTTACCGCACGTGTGTTTTTCGGTAATGATACAAATTCTCCATTGCCTATCAGTCGGTCGAAAACTACCACGACGTTTTGAAGACACAGGTCGTTTAAAGTTGTGCCCCTATCTTAGGAGCGGGCGAGTTTAAACTTTTTCAGCTAAGCAAGCGGAGCCGAATCCATTGTTTAAGCCCTGGTGCGCACCTTTAATTTATTATCATTTGAGTAACCGAACGTCTCTCTAGTGGTTTCTCTCAGTTTTCCAATTTCCCTTGCACTTACACATCTAGAATAAAGAGAATTTGAGGAGAACGAGCTATTTATCCGAATTTACATGGCGTCCTCTTTACTATCCCCTTATTTCTAGCGACCCTGGGGCCATTTTCAGTAGGCCACTGATCCATGGTATTACAGCGCAAACAGTCCATTAATGCATGAGTTGCATCACCGCAACAGTGGCAACATTCGAACGAGCGTGCGTTTCTCGTTAGAAACTCTTGCAACTTTGCTCTGATGATAAAAACGTTCAGAATGCATCAAAATGAGCCACCATTCGCCCACCATTCCTTATCAAAATGGCTCATCATCCGAAGCACGGGAGGACAGCTACATCAGGTTTGACCATTCCCACAAATGGCTCGCCACCTTGAGATGCAAGATTGTTGCGGATCGTACTTCTGACTCAACGTGGTTGCGCATTCCCTGAATTAGGACTAAACCGTTACAGTTATTAAGGGGAAAGATGTATTTAGGTAAATTAATATTTGTAAAGTTCGATAAAAATCAATGCCTAGATCTCTTTGGAAACTTCATTTGAAGAACATCTACTACCTTGAAAAATGTCATCGTGCTGCGTCAAACAGCATGTTCCGACACCAGTTAACAACTATTTTCCGGAGGCATATAACGAGCTTCAGTTGGTGTGTGCGCACTGAAAGTTGTTGTTCGGCCAAACAGTATTACTCGTTTTGATGCATGCGCTTTTTGTTATAATACAGTATAGTTGTTGGCATCTTAAAGGTCCTCTAAGCTACTATATGCAAGAAGAGGATGCAGTTGAGCAGTTTAAATCTGGGGTGGTGATAGGTAGTTGTTAATCTTATCAGCAGTATTGAAAGCTGGCATTTTGCTAGTAAACCCAGACTAATTGTTTAATTACTGTTTAATAAGCAATATTTTGGCCGCTTACGGTTAATTTTGTAGACTAGTTTTTCTGGAAGAGTTGGAGACAGAGTCATATTGCGCTCTTGTGGTCGAGTTTCTTGCAGGAGTTTACAAAAATAAGCGGTAATTTCGGTTTTGATAGAGTAAGTTTTGTGATAATAGCTTGCCTGATCTGTCTGTCGTGAGTGCTGTTTGATTAGCTGACTGATTGATCGCGTCTGAAAAATCGAGACAGCCTCTTGTGATTGTATGACTGAACTAACAGCAGATGGTTCGTAGGTCACGTGTGCGTGATGGTTGTACGACTTGGACTGCTTCAGTAAAGGCATACTGCGAGGTTAGGAGAGGCGAGGCAGTATGTCATTGTAAATCTCGTGTCTGATGCCCTTATGCAGTAGGTGACATCGTACTCGTGAAAGGGTTTTATGCAGTGCATAAACTATAACGGATATTGGCCATCAAAACGTCCTTGGCGCCGCGCTGGTGGTAGCCCCTTCACATGTACATAAATGTAACAGTGGTTTATTTATCTCAGGATAGCACAATGCATCGATAAGTCTTTGATCTGTCTATGATCGTTGACCTTCCATTCACTGAGTCGTAACTTGACGGTTAGCAGATACGCGTGTTGCTGGCGGAACTTGATGCAGTGTCAGTTTCATTAAAATGACCTCATCATGAAAGTATATAGAAGACCGACATTCCACCGGTTACCAGCTTCCTTTCCTTTCTTCACAGTAATGCGACTTCATTGGTTAACGTTTCACGAACTGACATTAAGTGGTGTTAAGGTCAAAAATGTGCCTTCGATTCGATTATGACTAACCGGTCATAAACGAGTCGACCCGTGAGAGAGTGTTCGATAATGTAGTATGTTGAGCGGTCAAATGACTACCATTCTGGCAGTAGCCACCTCTTTCTCTCTTCCTGTGAAGCAGTACGATTAGTTCCTTTGCTCGAAATTTAACTGAGGCTAGTAAATATCCAGTCTAGCGGTTTGCGAGTTCTCTTCTGCCAGTTCTTAATATTTTCACTTTGAGAATCCAGGATCTAATTTTTCTGCAGTGCGAAAGTTCGCATTATAGGTTCGCGTAATAAAACTAATAACGAATGTCTCCCTTCATTAGTTGCCAGCAGTGTTTCATGACCGAAACGAGTTGTTGCAATCCTTCCTCGAACTCTTGCTCGGTCTTTCACACGCCGATCGTCTCGATATCTTTGACGTATAAATCACTTTTTCATGATAGCAAGATGTTTATTTGCTGTCCGCACATCGACTCGTAACTGTGCACACGAATTCTCGCAAATTACACTTCGACATGCCACACTGAGTTGCCAAGGAAATGTCATAGTGAAGACGTTCACGTTTCTACTCCCATTTCTCTGTCGGTGGTTAGATTGCATACACTCCGCTATACTTTGTCCTCGCATGCCGCCCGTACATGACTTTCTGTCTGTTGTCAGTCATATGAACTAAAGATCGCGCTTAAATTGTGGGTTTCCTGCGTCCTAGCGACATAAGGAAAGGTCCGTAATCGTAAGGATGTCACTGCTCTTTACATTTTCGTGATTCGGAAGAACGACAGCACTCCTCTTTCTTTGAGTTCATCATGTATCGCTGAAATTTTCTTTCTCCTGTCATCAACTAGCTGTGAATTTTGGTTCCCATGTTTTAAGACTATATCTACCGATAGCTGACTGCTAAAGGGTGTACTCACCTGTTTTCTTCAAACGAAATGGAGCCCGGGCTTTCTCAATCGGAAGAGCGTCGGACTCAGAACCGAGAAATCTCGGATTCGAGTTGCGGTCAGATGACGCGCCTTTCTTGCGATGTCGATAAATGAGTAGTGACAGAGATTACACAATACTTTTTACACAGCCTCTGTCGACTCTGTCTTTAAAATAAGGCAGTCCTGGCTGATGGCGTGAACATGCAGATCAACGCCCCCTCCCTCCGTTAACTTCAGGAAAGGAGACATGTCGGAAATGGCCCCAGCCCCAACTTGAATGTGTGGTGAAGATCGATATTCCAGCAGTTGCAAATTTTCCTTTTTCCTTCCTTCCTGCCACTGCAGTGGACTCGTTTATTAGGGCTCGAACCCTTGATGTGTGACTATGAGTCCGACCGAGCAATACCGTTTTATGACAACCTCTTTGTGAATATTATAGATAAGGCTCCTCACAGACACGGAATGGTCACGGAGGGAAGCGTGCGCATTTTTAAACAACGAGATGTATTGGGATCCCAGGCCATGGAGCAGGATGTTTAGAATGCAAGTTCTGTATGGCAACAACTTTATATTATTGTCAAAATCTTTGTCCTTCCTGAGCTTGAATAACTCGTTGCTCTCAGCCTCTTGAATAACGCCAAGCCTCAGCGTCTCGTAACTTCATTTACAACTCGTTCATCAGCAGCCAATGTATTTCCAAGATTACAGATGTTCTACTACCTTTTCCTTAACTCCGCTGCCAACGATCAGACATACTTTGGCTAGGATATTACCAATTTGCATTCACTTTCTTATTAAGGCTGATTGACGGACCCAAATCAGAACATTTTGTTTCAAAGTTAAGAACAGTGGTGTTGCAGCTTCGAAGCTGTCTGCAAGCAGTAAGATATCATCTGCGAATGCAAGAGAGTTTGCGCAAATGTTGCCCTCTCTTGCTGCCGTAGCTTCACTTCAAGTAGTTTCATGCTGTCTGAAATACTCAGTAAAGGTACATCGCCAGCAGCAGAGGAAATTGTCCAAACTGACGGTTTGAGCGGATAGAAGCGACTGATACATCTGTCAAACAGCAAGTAAATGGGGATATTTTTACGTCTCTCTAGAGGCCCCCGTCCCACCTGCTAGGAAAAATGAACATAATTAGAACAGTATCATTTATACAGCATCGGCAGAAAAATATGGGCTAAAGCCGGTGGCGTAGTGGCTCAGTTCCAGTGATGTCGTTTTCTATCCAGAACAGAGAGTGCATGAAGAACTCGTTATATTCTGTATACTGATAAGCAGGAATGACGGTTCCAGGTTTTTCTTCTTCTCCTCGGTTTCTTGTCTTTGTCGTAAACGCATGAAGATCGCATGATGACATTTGTCAGGGTTCAAATACTAATTCTTCATGAGATCTTTTTGGGATCCGCAGCTGTTCTTAATGGCTAGCGTAAAGTCTGTGGCGAATATATGCCACCTGTTTCATCCTGTCGTGCCATATCAAAACGAATCACTGCCATCTGTGCATAGCAACGTTAGAATGATGTTACCGGGATTTTACTGCCTGCTATCAAATTGATTCTCTGGAGCGATAGTAATGAAAGATTTTTCTAACATTTTGGACTGGCGCATTTAATTCTTTAGCAGTAGTCTTCATCTTCTGCTAGAATTTGTTTGTGTTTAGGCTTTAGGCTGCAAAAAGTTTTGCGAACTCTGTTAGTTTTGTGTATGATTGTGCATCAGTAATTGATTATTATTACTTTCACTGTGGAAAGTCTTTACGCCAGGCCGTCAAGGAGGAGACGGTGCTCCGTTTTGTAGTTATTCAGCTGTTGGATCGGCCAAGCTTAAAGCGTAGACGCTGACTCTAGCGGTAACCGACTGTTACGATGACGAAGAGTGATTAGATCACGTTTTTGTAGACGTGCGAATGCGATGAACTCTGCGGAAACGCAGGTAAACAGTACTGCAGACATATAGAATTCAGTAATTCAATTCGTAGCATTTATTGCATGGGAAGTCTCGAAAGCGTTCACTGTCGCAAAATCCTCCTTAGCATGGTAGACGGTAAACGGCGATCGAAACATGCTAAGGGAACCGCATGCCAAAGTGAAGCGCCGACAAGGATTCTCTACAACAGCACTCTGCATGCAGCATGGAGAGACAATCTATAAGTAGGGTTTTGCTCAACGAGTAATCTTTCTTAGACGAAGCTCCGTGCACTGACCGGCTTTTCGAAGAAAGTGTTTTAGGTGGAAGTACGGTGCATTATTTAACGATTCAGTTCTTTCGTGGTTATGGGCTATTTGCAACGCTGAAACTCATTAATCTGTTTGTTGATAAGGCATACTCTAATTGTTCGTTTCACGTTTTCATTGCGGTCGATTTATTCTAATTGCA